ACCTTCATGGGCAGTTAAATTTTGTTTAAATTTCTGTTTATACAAGTTTCTCTTGTGATACATTTTAAATGACATTTTGCTCAGTTGCACCTGTATTTACATCATTCTGAAACAAACAGGAGTATGTTTATGCTTTTTAATATTCTTCCACTTACATAACAGTTGGTGCGAGTCCGAAACAGAATGTGTACATTTCCGATGATACGTAACCAACTGTAGTACGCCGGGCAAAACTCTTCTGGATCGACATTTTACAACAAAAAATTAAAACCAACGAAGTGACACAAATAACTTTGTGATTGTCTTCAACTTTACTAAATTCCACACATGGAAACTTATTTTTATATGGATCACGCAAGAAAGGCTTGCGTTACACCTTGTCCAAATTTGGTTAACTGAGTCACAAAAGTATGCAAAATCACGCAATTTCTGAGAAAAAAGAGCCCCATTTGGAGTGTTGTTTTGAGAAGAAACTCTTTCCGTGCTGGCGGATTTTTTTGTCAAGATTTTGACAAGAGAGCATGAGAAAGACTTACGCGAAGCGTAGAAACGTGTTTGTTGCGGGAACTCCGAAATGCAAATGTGTCACTCACTCACTCACTCACTCACTCATTCAGGTGAAGACACTGTTCGTAATTAGTCGGGCCGAACGAGAGCGCCCGAGCCCGACGCCGTATTGGAATAGTAACCGAGCCCGAAACCATATTGGAATAGTAACCTTGCAGTCAGTGCTAGCCTCGCTATCGTGTTTGCGTGGTTACTACTCAATACGTACATCGAGCCAGCCTGAATGATGATTTTGTAGCTTTAACACGACCATTAATATTAGGTCTTTCGCTAAATTGAAGTGGAGTTGACTTCGAATGTTCGAATTAGTACTATAGCCAACTTGAGGGCTGAATTTCACGAGCATCTGACTCGTCAAGGCGTTAAAAATGACCAGGAGATGTGTATTTGTTCGCTGGAAAGGGACTTGCAAATGAGTAAATCTCATGCTAATGTGGTAAGCTTTGATGAGAATGTGTCTTATATCTTGGAGAACAAATACGATTATCCTTCGCAGCAAGATAATCCAATACTATTCTGAACCTTTAACTTGCATACATTTTTATGTTTGATTGGTGAAGGATGTTAATTGAAATTTACGTTTTATTGTTATTCTTATTTTTTGCAGATGGCTGGATTACTTGCTCTCACGAATAATTTATCAAGCAAAAGCTTTTGTGATGAATGCTTGCAGAGACCACGACAAAGTCGCTGACAAAATGGGTTTGATTATCGGTCGTTTGCTTCAGATTGAAGAAAGGCAAACCGAAGTGATGGAAGAGCTTCATAGATATTTGAAGATTCGTGTCAGTGGTGCTGAGCAGAAGCTCAGTGAGTATCTTAAGTCAAGTGTTGTCAGAGCTCGCTTCACCACGTGGACCCTAGACGAAGTTCCAAAGGCAGAGGGCTCCTGGGAAGTGACTTACCGCAGGATCACGAAAGCGCTAGAAAATCGGCTGCGAGAAATCATCGAGCATTGGGAAGAAGATAACCAAGTATTTTCAGATGCTCGCGAGTCTCTTATTCATCACTTTCAGCAGCGATACAATTTTGTGGAAGGGCAGCTGCGGAATCTCCAGGGTGCTGTCACCAATGACGACCTGGATGTTCCAGAACGTGCTCCACCTGATGAAGGCTATAAATTAACTACAGCAGAAAAGGTTGTAATCGGCGTCGCTATGAGTCCAATATGGGTTCCAGTTACCCTAGTTGCGCTGGTAATTGGTGTGCCTGTGGTCGGCATAATGGTAATAAAAAGCAAGGTGGAAGATAGAAATATGATCAGGAAATACGAAGGAGACAAGTGTGCTTTTATGGCTGAAGCATCTGCAGCCTTTCTCGATAAAGTTACAAACGGAAGCGTGCTCGAGTTGTTCGTGAAGGACCAAGTGGAAGAGGCTGAGCTGTGTCTGAAGCAAATTGAAGCCCGTATTCCCGAGTTGATCGAGGCTGACAAGATGTTATGCAGACAACTCGGTGATGAAAGCCGTTCACAGAAAGAGATAAAAGAGGTGTACCAACCAATCATGGATGAAGCTTCTGATATCAGAGGACATCTGGCGGTATTTGCCTTGCAAGAAATCCGTGCCATTGACATATGCAACGAGGAATTAGACTGGAAAGAAGAAATGTCCTGCTGTCTTGGAAGCGGTGCATTTGCCATTGTTTACCAAGGGAATATGGGATGGAAAGGAAAGCAGCAACCTGTAGCATTAAAGGTGTGCAGCAAAGTGCTTGATGTCACAAATGCAACCCTTATTATGGCGGAGGTAGATCTTCTGAGGTAAGGAATTTATGTCGAATTTCTGTTAAAGCTCCTAAGTTTCACAAACCTTACCCTTCATGCATGTAAGAGCTAATTAACCTAGGACTGGAGAAGGAATTGTCAGATTTTACAGTGCTAATCGAGAAGCATATATCATGTAGAATAATCTTCAGGATTGTTGGTCTGTGTTGGAGGCCCAGTGACCCATCAGGCTGGCGCTTGTTATCGCTTGTATTAATCGAGTGGAAACCAAACTGGCACGGAACTTTAAACATCCTACGACTTTATTTGTTTACACGAATATGAGTTTGACGAGGAAAAATGACAAGCAAATAGAAAATGAATACAACAATAATAAATGAAGGAAGCTATGCAAATAATGAAGAAAACCATAACAAACACGACTTACAGAAATACCACCAGAAGAATAAAGTAGAAATTGAACAGATCCTGGATACGTACGCGATGCACAATTTGCTCGAATGGATTAACATAACGAAACCGTAGCCCTTATTCGTATAAATACGCGGGCCAAAAATGTAAATTGTTTGTCCCGTAGGGATATCATGATTTCAATAGGGAACGAAAACAATAGAAAGCAACGCAAGAATGTCACAGCGCTAACCTCCGGTTTTCGTAGCATGAATACTCCCCTCTCGGTGAGATGCTAGTTCATCGCAGAGTTACCCCCAGCATTAAGTTCGCCGGTAATCATTTATACGCCTGGATAGAAAGAGGCACTATGAGAGTAGAGTTACTTTTCTTGTCCAATAACCCAAATCGAGCACTAATGGTGTAGGCCACTACACCAGTACAAGGAAACGCAACATAAGTCTATTCTTAACCTGAGGTAGTCTTTACCCTTACTCAATCTTTAAGGACGTTT